AGACCCCCGCAGTCGAATCGGGAGGATGACGAACGTTGAGACTGTGCTTGAAATCGTCAAAGAGAATGAAAGGTAGACCCTTTGTGAAGATATCCGCAATCTGATAACGAGAGGGAATGTGGAATACACGGACTTGACCCTGAGCGACCTTTTCCCGAACGAAATGAATGTCCAGCTCGATGTGTTTGGTACGTTGGTGCTGAACCGGGTTGCATGATAAGTAAACAGCGCTGACATTGTCACAATAGACTAGTGTGGCTGTAGTTGGAGGGACATGAAGCTCCAACAACAAATTTCGGATCCAACATGTTTCGGAAACGACATTTGCAACTCCCCGGTATTCTGCTTCTGCACTAGATCGGGAGAGTGTTAGTTGACGCTTGGAGGACCAGGATATTAGGTTATCGCCCAAGTAGACACAGTAACCAGAAGTTGAGCGTCTCGTGTCCGGGCAACCTGCCCAATCGGCATCGGTATAGGCAATAAGTTTCCTAGAAGGTGATTTGTGAAGATACAACCCGTGAGCAAGAGTACCTTTAATATACCTCAAAATTCGTTTAAGAGCATTAAAATGAGATGTTCGGGGTGCATGCATGTGCATGCAAACTTGTTGAACTGCGTAGCTTATGTTTGGCCGTGTGAAGGTCAAGTATTGGAGAGCCCCTGCCAGCTGGCGATATTGTATTCCCCCATCAGGCAAAAGAGTTCCATCGGTGCTGCTTAATTTGGCCTTACTGTCAACTGGTGTAGAAGTTGGGTGACATGAGGTCATGCCTGCTCGTTCCAAAATGTCGGTGGCGTACTTTTGTTGTGACAAAAAAGTGAATCTTTATGACGAGACACCGAAATTCCAAGAAAGTAGCTTAGGGGTCCAAGATCTTTCATGGCAAACTCTTTTGCTAATAAAATCATAAACTTATGATGTAATCCGGGTGAGGAGGTGATGAGTAAGATGTCGTCTACATATAGAAGGAGGAAGGCCGTATGGGTTCCCTTTTTGTATACGAATAGTGAATGGTCACATTTGCTATGTTTGAACCCCATAGTGAATACGTAGTCAGCAAATCTTTGGTACCAAGCTCGTGGTGCTTGTTTAAGTCCGTAGAGAGACTTTTTAAGCAGGCATACATGATTTGGATACAAATGATTACGAAATCCGGGGGGTTGATGCATGTAAACCGTTTCATGTAGATGTACGTGTAGAAATGCGTTTTTCACGTCGAGTTGGTGAATTTGCCACTCATTAGAAAGAGCTAGGGACAAAACAGTCCGAATTGTCGCCGGCTTTACCACGGGGCTGAAAGTGTCACCACAGTCGATACCTGCTTTTTGAGACCTGCCATCACAAACCAAACGAGCTTTGTATCGCTCTAAAGAACCATCAGACTTAGTTTTATGACGATAAATCCACATACTACGCACTATATTCATATTGTTATGTTTCGGGACTAACTCCCACGTTTTATTATCAATAAGGGCCTGAAACTCGTCTGTCATCGCTTTATTCCAATCCGGGTTTTTAAGTGCTTCTATTGGGTTTCGAGGGATAGGGGAGAGAGAGGTAGAAGTATGGAGGTTGTAGTGTTGTTTGGGTTTCGAAATGCCAGACATACTTCTGGTGTGGATGGTACGAGTAGGAGGAACAGAAGGTGTTTGTGAGGTGATTGGTAGGGGGTTCGAACCAGAAGGGGTTGTTGTTGTGGAAGGCGGTTGTTGAAGGGTAGGCCTTGTACGACGTGAATAAGTGATTAGGGGAGGTGATGGGGTGGTTGCCGGAGCATTGTTGTCAACCAATGGGGGAGGCGTAGCTGCGTTGGGGGTTGGTTGAATGGAGTCGGACCACATTAATGGGTGTGGGTCTGATGGTAGTTGGGTTGTAGGGGTCGATGATGATAGGTTAAGATAGGGAAAAATAGTTTCATCGAATATTACATGGCGGGATATAATAATGGTTTTATTTTGCATGTCAAAACATTTGTACCCTCGATGATTGATGGGGTGGCCTAAGAAAATGCAGGGTCGGGAACGTTTTTGGAGTTTGTGGATGGTCGGAGATGGAGTAAGTGGGTAACATAGACAACCGAAGGTACGAAGGTGTGAATATGAGGGTTGAAGATTATATAGAAGATGTGTAGGGGTTAGATTGGCAATAAGTTTGGTGGGAAGAATGTTTAACAGGTACGTAGCATGTTGGAGGGCATGGTGCCAAAAATGCATGGGTACGTTTGAGTGAGTGAGAAGAGTGCGAAGGATATTATTAATGGATCGTATTTTACGTTCAGCTTTTCCATTTTGAGGAGATGTGTGCGGACAAGAAAAGCGGAATTGAAGGCCATTTTGAGAGCAAAAATTGTGAAATTGATGGTTATCAAACTCACGACCGTTATCACATTGTATGGTTTTAATAGTGTAATGGAATTGTGTTTTGACCATAGCAAAGAATTGGATGAAGATGGAAAAAACTTGGGACTTATTGGCTAGAGGATAAGTCCATAAATAATTGGTTTTGTCATCCAAAAATAAAATATAGTAGCGGTGACCACTAGAGCTTAACACAGGGGAGGTCCATAGATCCGTATGAATAATGTCAAAAGGTAAATGAGTTATTGACTGAGAAGTAATAAAAGGAAGTTTTATTTGTTTACCCAACACACAAGAACGACAAACAGAAGAAAAAGGTTTTGATCTAGGAAAATTTAAAGTAGAACGTAAAGAAGATAAAACATCCGCGCCCGGGTGGCCAAGGCGATGATGCCATAGGTCTCTTGTAATTGCAGCAAAAGTAGAAGGTTGTGTAACTTGGGAATTTGACTGGAGCTTGAAAGGGTAGAGAGCACCGGTACTATTGCAACGGAGGATTAGAGTCCGCGTCTGGAAGTCCTTCACATCAAAACCAAACTTGTCAAATTCTACAGAAACATTGTTGTCAATAGTGAAGCGACGAATGGATAAAAGATTTTTAATGACATTTGGAGTGTGAAGAACATTTTTTAGAATAAAAGGAGGAAAAGGGTAAGGAAGTGTTTGATTACCGGTGCCTTGAATTGGAATAGTGGAACCATTACCGACAATGACATTCTGAGAAAGACCATTATTGATATAAGACGTGAAGTTACCTGTGTTGGGAGTCATGTGTGACGTTGCTCCGGTATCAACATACCAAGTCTGATCAGGTGGGTGTAATGCCATTGTGTGAAAAGCTTGCTCAAGATCGGTTGGTGTGTGGCTGATTTCTGATACCGGATAGGCCTGCTGAGGTCGATTGCCTAGAATCCCAGGGGAAACTGATGGAGGTCTGGAGGATCCATATTGCTGGGTCGGATATGGGCAAGGGGGTAAGCCCATGGTGTATAGTTGGGAAAAGCCCATGGTGGCGGTGTAGTCCATGGCTGATAGGGACGGGACCCCCGATTGTATGTCTGTTGGGTTTGGTTATTGTTGGTACCGCGTCCACGCCCGTTGGAAGATCGTGCACGACCGCGTCCTCCTCGACCCCGTCCGCGTCCACGAGAGGTAAAGGGATCTGCCTGTTGGTGGTTAAGGCGGCTGCTATCTCCAAAATTTGGATGAGTCATTGGTGCTGAAGCAGTCAAGGCGGTAGCGGAGGTGCCTCCGGTTAGGGATACAGCAGTGGCAGCAGCCTGATGAGCTTTTCGTGCTTCTTCCATGATGAGTTTGGAGCGAACTGCATAGAAATCAGGTAAGGGTGTTGTTTGCTGGATGATCATCGCGACCCCTTCATAGCTTTCATTGAGACCAGCAATTAGTTGAAGAACAAGACGTTGGTTGGAAATCGGGTTTCCCACATTTGCCAGTTGATCAGCAAGCATCTTCATGGCTTGGCAATAGGAGGAGATGTTAGGGTGTTGATCAAGTCTTGTAGAGACGAATTTGCTGTCAAGATAGACAGCTCTAGTGCTCTGGTTATCTTGAAAAATGTTTTCAAGGGCAGTCCATGCCTGACACGCAGTGGTGTTTGGTGTCAAAATTGTGTGCAGCAGATCATTAGAAATTGTGTTGTAGATCCATTGGAGAACAATAGCATCGAGTCGTGACCATGCTGCAAACTCAGATGCTTTAGCTTTGTCGGCTTCAGTGGAGGTTTTATCAGCTTCTGTTGAGGTTGAGGAAGAAGAAGAAGATGGTTTTGAAGGAGGGATGACGGTAGAATCAATGTGATCTGCAACCTGAAAAGCCCTGCAATGGATGCGAAATAATTCTGCCCATGAGGTGTACTGTCCGCTCTCCATCTCCAGTATAAACGGAATGAAGTTCCGTATGTTTGTGACTGTGATGGCTGGGTGAGATTTTGGGTCCATTGAAGAAGAAGAGAAAAAAAAAATGGCGTACAGGAAAGAACAGGAGGCGAGGTAGGGTTAATGATATTTGTGCTCTGATACCATGTTAATTGATAATTTTCCACCCGTCTCATTCCAATGATTTACAATCCATATTTATACAATATCCTATCGCTATCTATAATGAAGAGTTTATCAACTATAACAATACTTTCTCAATATGAGGAAAGATATCTGAAAGATATCTTCGGCTAATAGTAATATCCACATTAAAAGCATTATCTTTATTTCGTTTAAAATAGTTTTTATGAGATTTTACAATTAAACTTTTTTAATTTTTACACATCAGTAAAATCATTGAAATGTACTTTTATTAATAAAATATTTTTTACGATTTGTTTATTTAGCACAAAAAGATTACTACCACATCAAAACTGGATAAATACAAAGATGATGAAAATGGATGGATTTTCCAATTTATTGATGTATTTCATATCATTTATCATTTTTCTCTTTTTGGCCTTAAATTATTTTTAAAGTTTTTAACTTGTTATAATTAGATCTAATCATACTGTAAATTATCTCTTGCCTAAATATACAAAAATTCCGCAACATGGCGTGGCACGAGGTTTGTTTCTAATAATTAAGTTAGATATTACAAAAGATAGATTTTGAATACTTGTAGTCCACAAGTGAGCTAGTTTAGTAGCCTTGCAAAATACCGAAACCAAGATGGCCCTTCAATACCTGATCATATTCATCACCAAATTTGTGTGCCACCTCCCGTGCCTTCTTCTTTAGAGCATCTGAAGCATTATCATATTCTAACTGAGCCACCTTCAACATCTCCTGAGCTTCCACAAACTGTTTCCATCTCCCACATAACCTTTCCTTCAATGGCTCTAATGATTCTTTCAACACCATCAACTCTTGTTGTAAAGGCTCGTTTCCAAACTTAAGCTTCTCAACCATGTCCATCCTTTTATGGGCCCGCGACAGATCAAATCCAAACCTCTCAAATTTAAGATCCTCCCGAACCGGTCCTCCGCCAGTTCACCCACGGATGTTTCCAGAAAACTTTTGATGACCACATGGAATTCTCTCAAAATGGAAATCCACATTTCTTTTGCACGAATTTGAACCCCTTGAAATGTGTCTGGGTATTGGTGTTCAACAGCCTCCAGTAGCTTTTTCACCTCCGTCCCAACAACATTCCCCCGACACAATCCTTCATCAGGCATCAATTTTCTAGAAGCTTCATGAGTATGATCAGTCAACCACTATTACTGCTGGTCTGGTCAGAATTGTCACCGCTCTCAGTATCATTCACCCAACCGTTGCTATTATTGAAAATTTAAAAGATAGGTTAATTGTCATGGTTTATGTACCGTTTGAAGTCTCATGTACCTTCAGATCATAAATGGGGTTGTTTGAATCACTAAACCCTGCCAAATCCATCATGGCATGGTCTAATGCATATAGCATCATTTTCCCAATCTAAATATACCGCAGAAAAGTAGCAAGTTAGATAATAAAATTACTTATTAATATCAGTAATACTATAATTCGTGAGAGACTTTACATTTAGCTTATTTTGTTTGGTCCTGTGATTGTTGGGAAGCATACGGAATTCGTGTTGTAAGCGGATGCATTCACCAAGACTCTCGGGTGAAACAAAGTTAAGTTCAATCTTCGTACTAGACTATAAGGAGATGTTTTTTTTAATCAGCAAAATTAATAACAAACAAAACGATATTGCATTCATGCAAGTATTAAGTATTAGTGAGCAAGAACCTAATCTGACCTTCAAGTTTCTAACTTGATACAGACAACAGCTGGAATAAAAACAGCATCACCAAGCTTTTGTTTGAAGCTCCATGGTTCAATTCCTAATCAGGATCAATAAATCTGTATAAACATAACAAACAATCACCAAAATAGTGAAATACATACTCAAGATCAAGACATACCCAATTCCTCTTTCAGCTTCCTTTTATGTTCTATGTTCAGGTAAAATATCCAATCATGTATAGGATGAACAATCTTCTCAAATGCAAGACAATCAACATGCATAAGGTCACTCGAGTGATTCTAAAGATATTTCTCTAATTTAGGTACATCTTGCCTCCTGAATATGTCCCACAGAGCACCTTCCTCCTCACAAACTAAAGCTTCATCTTGATGTTTCACCATTTTGGTATTATTAAGCTTTGTGGATGCAAGGATATGAGATCCAGTATGTGTCAGGACATTCACCTGCAAGTTTAAAAAAAACATGCAAGGAAGAAAGAATCATACGCATAATAGGATTTTAAGAAGAAAGGAAATCATACAGTATCAGATTTATCATAGTGAAGCTTTGTAACAGAGTTTCCATAAGCTATATCCATACGTGGACTCATGTCAGGTTTGGAAGACAAATCAGGCAACTTAACAGCCACATTCAGGTAGCCAGTTTTAGGGTGTGTGTAGTCTTTAAATGGCAAACAGCTAATGAATTCAACAAAATAACGTAGCCATTCTCCTTCAGATAAGCAAGAAGGTTGCCAATCTTCTAACTTCAAAATCTCCTTTTTGAATCCACCTTCTGAGTATCCCCTAAAGAATTTGTGAAGATCAACACTCACCTTTTTCCAATCAAAACAGTCGATTGCATTCACTTCACATGTATGGGAACGATTGTTATTTTTTGTGATGTCACGAAAAGCACGCCACAAAACCATTGGCTCCCAACTTAGCCCTGAGGAAGTTGAAAGCACATCATTGACTACTATAGGCTCGCCTTTTGACCAATGCAATTGGAAATGTTGCATGTCTTGTTGAGGTTGAATGTCTTTAGCACTTAGAGAATACAAATAATATCCATTAGAATTTTCTTCATTAGCTTCAAAATCATAACAACACATGCCACATTTGGTAGAAGTTTGATGAATATCAATATCATCACTTGTGTTGATTTTGTATATCTCTTGTGCTTTCTCCAACATATTTACAACCCAATCAACAGGCATTATACGTTTCAACTCAAGGATCCCCTCATTACACCCACCAATATAAATTGGTGGGCAATTAATGCTACCATCTATAGAGAACTTCCATCCAGATTTCATACCCATATTTCCCTCACGTAAATCTTGACAACATACAAGGCATAAATCATTACCACATTCACAGCTTCTATATAAGTCAAAGATATATGCTCCACATTTGTCATTAAACAAAAAGATAAGTTCTAATACCTTTATATAATTAACACAATAACATTCTTTAACAATATTAAGTAGTCATCCCATGAGAGCAAGACTCCTACCAGTATATATTATCATCCACCTCACATTCAGCGTCTTGCAATTGTAAGTATGATAGAGACAATCCTGTCCAATGAGATAATATTAGGAAAGTAATAAATATGGTTTTTGTTTATAGTTTTAAGTATTTGAATATCTTACTTAGAAAAGGAATCAAAATAAGCTACCTTTAACCTTAGCCTCTATTAACTTCTCCCCTAGTTGGTCTGCATTCAGACGTTTCACAAAAGCCAAAACTTTTTGTATGATATGCTCTGAGTATTGAATTTTATCAGGTTTGGAGCAAGAATACCCCTGCATCACCTGCATAAACTATTTTGTTATGAGTATGTGGAATTACACAGGTAACAAACTAACAATAACCAAGAGTTTGCTTAAAAAAAACTAACTTTAGGTGAATATCCACGCAAGCATGCTTTGCAATTGCAATTTTTGCGACAAAAAGGGCAAGCCTTGATAAACTCCTCCTCCGATATCTTGGGGTATCTATTTCAATTCGAACACATAATCACAAAGTTGTACATGATTCTCTTAAAAAAATGTAATTACAAGTTCAAAATTACTACCATTTAGTCATGCATGTGACGCAATATTTCTTCGATTGACATTTCTTGCACTCAACAACGTGATCTCTTTCACTCCTATGACATTGATGGCACGATTTCAGCTGCTTGTCAGCCCCATTTCCTACCTACAAAAAATCAAACTAAAATTATAGCAACTTGCGTGATGATTCCGTATGAAAACGAGCAAGAACGGTCGTAAACAACTGAATTACGTTGATATCCGGGTTTTTTCGGACGGGGTTTCTTCTAATTGTGAGCTTTCACCTTCGTTGAAGCTGATTTCTCCGTCTTTCTCCTTTTCCTTGAATTCTTAATGGGGTCAAGTTTTGGTTCCTCCATTTCAGCAGGGACCAACTTTCTTTGCAATTGCCAAGTCGATATGTGAGCCATTTTTGCTTGTGTGATCGTGGGAGGAGGGCAGAAGCAGGTTATAGAAAGAGCCGCGTTAGTTTGAAAAAAGAAGCGTGTCGTATAAGATAAAGCTTTTTGAAAAAAATTCACAAATTGGTCCTTTAGGTTTACCGTTTTCCTTGAAACGGTCCCTATGAAATTTTTTCTATGAAATGGTCCTTAAAGAGCAAATCTTGCACACGAATGATCCTTACCGTAGATAGATTCGTTAAGTTGAAAGAATTGTAGATAAGGATAATTTTTGTCATTTTATGAAACTTACTTAGTGATCATTTGTGAAATTTTACACAATAACCATTTAAAATATTATAAAGTTAGTTTTGGGGAAATGACACAAATACCCTATAAAGTTTCTAGGGTTGGTCAATTCAGTCCCTAAAGTTTTTATCAAGTTTTATGGGTCCCTAAACTAGAAAAACGATCTGCTCCTTTAATCTCTATCAACCTGTAATAGCGAGTTCACCATATGATAGTGACCATTTAGACCAAAAATTTTTATATTGTGCCCCTATAAAGCCAAAAAAATAAGTTCGGAGATCAAGTGCTTATGCCACAAGATCAAAGAAACAAACCACTGAATTTCACTTAATTAGATGAAGAATATGCTTGTTGATATTGTTGATGTAAAAATCTTTCAAAATTGCTTCTCCAATAGCTCATTCTATTTCTAAAACTAATAGATTCTTCTTTTCTCATTTTCAAGTTTTCTCTTCTCCCAAATCACTTCGATTTTGTAGCATAAGAATTTGTTCCCCAAAATGTGGAAATCCGCTTTCAATTTGGTTTTGCAAAATTTTTGCAAGGCTCGATGTGGATCTCAAAGGAAATGGAAGTTAATGCCACATTATTTCCTTAAATACTGATAAGATTTTTGCATGATATCGAATAGACGTTTTGGTAGCTTTTCATTTTACGAGGTTTTAAAGTTGTATGCATTGAAGGTTTAACAACGAGATGCTTTAAATGTTTTGGAGACACCAAGAATTTGTGGCTTCTTCTACCACCTTTAACTTTTCGTTTAGGCTATTCGGTGTAGCAAGTGGAAGACGCGTGAGAGGCTAACGTGGAGTCCTTCAAGGCGCGTGAACACCGCCCCCAAAACCGACACTTTGATCGTGGCGTGGATGCGAAGACGGATGATTTGATTGGGCCTCTCGTTTTGACCGTTGGGGGGGGGGAGGAGGGGGGTTGGGTGATATTTGACGGCTTGATAATTAAAATAAATAAATAAATAATCACTCAATTATTAATAAATTTCTTTATATATACACATTTTACATCTCAAACATACGTACACTCTTATTCAACAAAAAATACACCTTTCTCACATGATTTTATGGATCCAATCAAAATACTCAAACACCCGAACACTTCAAATTGATAACATCTCAAATCCAACAACAATCTATATTCACCAATTTTTCATACTACCCACACTACTACCAACAATAACAACCACTACAATTCAATCAACCCCAATTTCAAGCCATTCAACAACAACCTTCTCCGCAATTTCAACCTTAAACTTCTGAACGTCAACAACCTTCACAATCATAATAAGTTTTATTATCTCAATCTCAACCTATAAACATCGACAATGACGACGACAACGAACGGGTTGAAGCAACACAACGAAGTCGTTTAAGGCAAAAAAAAAAAAATCAGAAGATCCAAGGAAAACGAAAAGTATGCAATAGACCGAAGACGAGGAGGAAACTTCAGCTAAAGTTTGGATTTTATTATCAGAAGACGGGGATGTCGGCAACGCGCAAACGTGACAAAGTTTTTGGAATCGTGTTTTAGATCACTTCCACGCGTTATTAGGAAGGCAAACGACTCGGACATACGACTCGGTCAATGCAAAATGGAAGTTTGTCGTAATAGTCCAAAACAGGTCCTTTATTCGGATACGACGCATTCGTGATCTACCACCGACTTCAACAAAAGGGCGAGAACGTCCGAGTAGGACATTAGTGTTAGCCTCGACCTCAATGATGAGTTCGACGCCAAGGGGGAGGGTCCACCGGACGTCTAACTTTGTCGACCTTCGGGAAGGGACAAAGCAAGAAATGTGGCATCTTCAAGCGGAAAATCAACCAACGAGGACGTACTAGCGAAGAAAATAGACAAAACTTTAAGTTTTTTAGAAATAAAATTTGAATGAACGGAGGAAGCCCGTCGGCGAAAAATGACATTCACCGATCTTCAAATTTTAAATACGGTGCCGCAACCGAATCTCGATCCAGAAAATTTAAGGGCATTTTTTAAAATTCAACAAGAAGTTCTCGACAAATATCACAAGATTCTATGTTTTTTTTTATGTTATTTAGTAATTTATGTTTAATTTTCTATGTTTTTTTAGTAATTTCGGTTTATTTTTATTATTTTTTTTAATTTTTTTATTTTTTAGTAATTTAAATTTCTTTTTTTTTTTTTTTAGTAATTTAGGTTTAATTTTCTATTTTTTTAGATTTATTTTTCTATGTTTGATGTAATGTCATTTCAATTAATGTAAAACATTTTATTATGTTTTTATTTAATTTAATCGTAAAAAAAATGTTAAGTTATAACAATTTTCAATGTTCAGTGAGTTGGTGGTGAAGCTGACATGGTACACAGATATGACAATGCTTTTTCGATGGGTTGTTGATAACCACTCCTCATAGCCTTAATGCAATTCTAGTATTTAAAAACATAAGTTTTCATAGGGGTGAGAATGCTCGATCCAACTCGTAACCCAACACGAAAATAAATAGGTTTGGATTGAGATTTTTGACCCGCCAACCAGATTATATATATATATATATATATATATATATATATATATATATATATATATATATATATATATATATATATATATATATATATATATATATATATATATATGGTGAGGTTAGATAGAAAACCATAATTAACCAAGGAACCAAATTTTTTTTCAACTTTTAGAACTTATTTTTTATAAAAAAAAAAACTAAAAATATAGAAATTCATAACTTTTTATTATTTTTTCAATGATATAAAATTCGATTTTTTTTTACGTCAAATTCACAACGTGAATCCGGATTCACACGGTGAATCCGAAAAATATTTTTTACCTTCACAATGTTAATATATGAATTTAGATATTTTCATATTTTTTTTTCGATAAAGAATAAACTCTAGAAATTGAAAAAAAAAAAAAATTAGTTCCTTGAAGAAACAATAATTATGGTTCCCTATTGAACTTTTTTCCATATATATATATATATATATATATATATATATATATATATATATATATATATATAATGTTTAAAAAATATATTTAATTATTTATCAGTTTTGAATATTTGATTATCCTTTAATCGTTTTTCGAATTCCAAAACTACAAAGCATCTTCAAGTTGAATTAACATGCCTAATCCCTAAGAATTCCCTAATAAAAAAGAAATTCAATCATCAATCTCCAACTCACGACTCTGTATCTCCCATCTCCGTTGATTAAGGCATTGAGTCACTAACTGTCGTAGTGTCGCATGCACATCACTCGTCTTCGCATCCTCCGATTATCGAACACCACTCGTTGTTGTCACTCATGTTTATGATTTTATGTTGAATATTTAAGACTTTATGATTTCATTTTGTTTGTAATTTTTAATTTGATTTTAAAATTTGTTGCTTATTAAATATGTTATACGATTAGGTTCGACTACTAACCCACGAACTCATATACTTATACGGATTATATGGGTTGGGTTGGGTTGATGTTTTCAACCCACCAACACATATATTATATATGTTGGGTTGGGTCGTGTCAATGTATTCTGACCCTTCGAACCCAACCCAATTGTCAGGTCTAAATTTTCAGCTCTGCTTTATGAAACACTTTTTAAAAAAAAATGATTATATTGTTTAATATAGGTTGGGTTGGGTCGTGTCAATGTATTCCCCAGTTTTTTTGTAAATTCATCAAAGGAAAAGGAAGAAAAATATTCATTATACCGTGTTCGAAGGAGGGGAAGGAAAATATTCATTATACCGTGTTCCCGAGTTCGAAGGAAATGAAAAGAAATGAGAGGAAAATTTTATGTTTTCGTGTTCCCGAGTTAGGAGGAAAAAGAAAATAAAACTTGAAATTTCACTTCCCTTCACTTTCTTTCTAAATCCGTTCAATTTAGAAGGAAAATTTGAAAGGAAAATATGACTCCAAAATCCTTCCCCTCCCTTTGCTTTCCTTCCATTAATGAAACTCAGGAACACGATTTTCCTTCGGTACGCCTCACTTTCCCTCCGTATCCTATCCATTTCCCTCCTTAAGTATAACTCGGGAACAAGGCATAGAGAAGGAGACATTTTCTCCTTACCACCGATAGTACCACTAACTATTGTAATCAAGAAGTAAAAAAATAAGTAATCGAAATAGAATAGGTATATGATAGCATTATTTTTAGAAAGATCTAAACTATCAAACATATTCCTATTGCCTGGACTCTTACACTTTTTATCGTACTAAAAAATAGTCAAATCTACATTCACGACCAATTATGTATACAACTTACATATTTTAAAAAAACGAAATAAGTGTACGAGTTTAATCATTGAAAAGTTGAGTTACTGATCTAGTTTAATCATTGAAAAGTTGAGTTACTGATCTTGTATATAAGATATAGTATCGAATATCCACATATAGCTATGAGCTAATACAAACTTCTTATGATGGTATTTACACACAATATCAGAACTTTCTAAGCTTTTTGGCTGACCAGGTAGCGCGACTATTAATTTCTTTTATATAGAATTTTCTAAAAAGTTCATTTACTATGTTATAAAAATCTACACTATTAAAGTAATAAATATATTTTTATAGAATTTTTGTAAGATTGAAAGATTACCGCACTCTCTAGTCTACTTCTAAGAAAGGCACCATGTCAACACAAGATACTGATGGGTATAAGTATAACGTTTTTTATTATAATGATGAACTCTAAAACATTATTGACTACAAGTTGTTGGAAAAAAAAAAATCATACTAGAATCGCAAGGCCTTCCTTCTTTGGTGTGGTTGAGAGTGGGCGGTTTCCAGGGAAAGCTGTGCGAGAAACATCAACGAGAGCCTTGAAACTATATGGTTCGTGCATAGAGAGCTCTGACAAAACCTTACGATTAATTTGGATGTTTTCTTTGATTAGTCCATGCATAAAGTTACCATAATTCACCTGTGCAATATTTGAGAAAATGAGTGACATACATTGAAGTTAAGATAATATTGCTATATACTTATGTAGATTTTTCAACATACAAATAAAGTAAAGTAAGAGGCTATAAATATAATAAACAAATCATTGGTATTTCTTCCATACAAAAGGATAGAGGTATAACATACACCATGGACGCGAGTGCCAGCATTGATGCGTTCAATCCAAAGGGAACGCATGTCACGTTTCTTGTTCCTACGATCTCGATAAGAATACTGAAGTGCCTTTTCTACCCTTTCTCTAGCTATCCGGATACAATTCTTTGCCCTTCCCCGGAAACCTTTCGCTAGTTTGAATACCTCCTTCTTGTTCATGTCTCTATACTCTACTCTATAGCTGATTAAACGGTAAGGATAAATACGTCATTTTACATTTGTATCAATCATCACTTGGTTAAATCCACTTATTTTACATTTATATTAACAATCTGCAATTTTCCCCACACCCTGAACCCAGTTTGAAATCCCCGAAACTAGAACACTGGAAACTTAAAAAAATCTGGAAAAAAATGCAATAATCAAACAATAAACGAATCTGTGGTGTTCAGGAAATCAGGATTCAGGAATAATACGCTAATAAGTAAAATTTGTGTAAAGCATCTGAAATCAGGATTCAGGAATCAATATCACCGAAAATATGAAAATAACAGTGCAAAAACTATGAATTGTATTTCTAATACAAAATAAAAGAGCAAGGCATTCGGCAAAATTATTACCTGTAAGCACAAGGAGATGGCTGCGTGAAAAGGGAGAACCGAGCAGGTCTGCGACGATTCCGACGGCGACTCGGACCAGACGTAGGTCGATTGACGATGGTTGCGTGAAAAGGGAAGAATCAAGGAGAGTGACAGACTGAAGAGGAGTGAGGTTTTGATAAATGATAATCTGATTTAGGGCTAAATTGTTTCAAGGGCAACAATGTAATTCGATTATTTTGTGAACCCTAAACAGTAAACACATAATCTTTCGGATAATAAAAAGAAAACAAGACGCCCCACTGAAAAAAAAAAAAAACTTTGTTATTTCAGATGATATTTTAAGGGTTAATACCTTAAAAACCATTATTTATACATATCCGTTTCGATTTAACCCTATCATTTTTATTTGTTACTTATTTGCCACCGTTAATACCCGGTTAACAACCGGTAATCACCTCCTTGCCGGTTGCATCTCTTCACTTGATTACTAATTCTTGGGAACGTGCATAGTAGCCACCACCTTTGTCCCTCATGTCTGACTAACAAAGGGGTATCCCGATAACATCATCGTCAAAAGAGGGTTTTGCAAGAGGGTTTTGAAAGAGGGTTTCTGAAGGTTTTCAAGGGTTCGATGGCAGAATCATCACGGAGAATGAAAAGTAAAGAATCAAAGGCGACAAAGAAGACAAAGTTGAGATACGTACGTGATGAAGAAGAGTCTGATGATGATCGTCTTGACTTAGGATTGTTGGATGTTGAACCAGATAACTTCAATCCTACATCTAACTTGTGTGACGACCCTTTTCTTAACATTTTATGTGATGATAAAATGTTAAAGAATAATCAGTTTGAAGGGGACGATGAAGCTGATGTTGAAGACATTCACCAGGAAGAGCTTGAGCATGAACACCTTGAAGATGAAAATGGCTTGGAAGTGGGTGTCGAGTTCAGGGTGCACGATCCTACCGTCAAGTGGAACCAAATGAAGCCTACAGTTGGTGAGTTATATGAGTCTCCTGCTCAGTTAAGGTTTGCACTCACTAACTATGCTGTAGCTAATGGATACCAACTTTGGTTCATGAAAAGTGATAAAAGCAGGGTAATTGTTAGGTGTGGGAAAAAAAATGCAAAAAAACCATGTCCTTTTAGGATCCATGCTTCGTGGAAGTATAATGAACGTACTTTTCAGATAAAATCTATGGTTGAAACACATCTTTGTGCAAGGAATTATAATTTTGGACATTTGGTTAGTTGTAATTGGTTAGCAAAACACTACATTAAGGACATAATTAGGAAGCCCAAAATGACACTACCTGAGATGATGGAGGATGTCCTTACAAAATATTCAGTGAAAGTGTCAAAGGGGCAATGTCATAGAGCAAGGGTAAGGGCAAGGGAGATGATAGAAGGTAAACTGGAGGAACACTATGCTAAGATATGGGATTATGCCAACGAAATCCTTAGATCTAACCCTGGAAGTACATGCAAAGTAGGAGTTTCTGTAAATCCAGATGGGTGAATTATTTTGAACGTTTTTATGTATGTTTTAAGGCATTGAAAGATGGATGGAATACAGGGTGCAGACGTGTGATTGGCTTAGATGGATGTTTCCTAAAGGGACAAATCAAAGGGGAGATTTTGACTGCTATTGGAAGAGATGCTAACAACCACGTGTATCCAATTGCATGGGCTGTAGTAAATGTAGAGAACAAAGAAAATTGGACTTGGTTTTTACAGTTGTTGGTTGATGACTTGGGTGTTGAGGATGGAAGGGGTCTAGTTGTTATTTCAGATCAACACAAGGTAAACATAAATACTACAAATTTTTTTATGTATTCATTTATATTGTCTAACCCATATTAATGTTGAATTTACTTATTTCAGGGACTTCTAGAATCTGTGAAAGCTATCCTTCCACATGTTGAACACAGGCAGTGTGCACGACACATTTATGCCAACTTCAGGAAGAGGCATACAGGTTTAGAGTTGAAAAACTTATTCTGGGCTGCTGCAACTAGTTCACATGAAGGGGATTTTGTGTCTAACATGGAAAAAATTAAGAAAATCACTTCAAATGGATATGATTGGTTGATGTCTAAGAATCCACAATCATTGTGTAGGGCATTTTTTGGACTAGGGTATGCATGTGAGGCAGTGGAAAATGGGGTTTCTGAGTCCTTTAACTCCATGATCATAAATATTAGGAAAAAACCACTTCTCACAATGTTAGAGGAAATTAGAATCTATGTCATGTCTAGGTTTTATTATTTGGCTGATAAAGCTTCTACTTGGAGAACTGAATCGTGTCCAGCTATCATAGAGAAAATGAAGGAGTTTGGAAAAGAGATGAGGTAAATTCTTACATAAACTTGTTACTACTTACCATTAAATTGTGTTGTATAGTTAACATGAAATTGTTATTTTTAATTTGTATTTATAGGAACTGGAAAGTTATAGCAACTGGGGGGTCTGTATTTGAGACAAGGTATGGGTATACAGCTTACAAAGTGGATTTGGAACAACACTATTGCACATGTAGACTATGGGAGATATCTGGAATACCATGTGTGCATGGTCAAGCAGCAATAAACTACACTCACATGAATCCAACTGATTTTCTAAGCATTTGGTTCCAAAAAGAGAAATTTATGGCTGCATATACCACAAATATATCACCAGTGAATGGAAGCAACCTGTGGGCACCCACTGACTATATAAAGCCATTACCTCCTTTGACAAGGAGACTGCCTGGTAGGCCAAAAACCAAGAGAAGAAGGCATGTGTCTGAGGTCAATGATTCCAAGTTCCCAACTGTTAGAGCTAGAGTTTGTAGGACTGTTAGGTGTAGCAAATGTTTACAATTCGGCCATAACTTGAAATCCTGTAAGAATGAGCGAGTGATGAAGGAGTATGTGCCACCTAGAAAACCAGGAAGGCCAAGGAGGGGTGGAAATGGTATAACAAACAAGGATGGAGAGGGAACTTCAAAACAAAAGGCAGTTAAGCTTGTAGTGAAAAGAAAGAAGAAGATAAAGAAGGCTGGAGAAGGATCCTCAAACCAGGATGGCCAAGGTGGGGTTGAAACTGCAAACGATGCAACTGTGCAAGAAGAAAATGGAACTGTACAGGAAACTGCACCCAAAATTGTGAATGATGCAGATGCTATTTCTGATGAAATTGATGTATTGTTGCAAAAATGTGGTTATGAACCTCATGAGATTGAACAGGCTATAGAAAACTTGGAAATGGTATGGAAACCTTTACTTTAAATTTCTTAAAACTAATATGTGATTTACATAAGGTAATTAACTAGATCATGTCTTACAGGGTGTAGATGCTAATGAGATTGAAGAGGTTGTTAATGAGATTGAAGAGAACTTGCTTGAAGAAAACTTGGAAATGGTATGGAAACCTTTACTTTAAATTTCTTAAAACTAATATGTGATTTACATAAGGTAATTAACTAGATCATGTCTTACAGGGTGTAGATGCTAATGAGATTGAAGATCACTTGGAAGCAGACTTAGAAGAGGATGTTAATGAGATTGAAGATAACTTGCTTGAAGAAAACTTGGAAATGGTATGCCAACCTTTACTTTAAATTTCTTAAAACTAATATGTGATTAACATAGGGTATTTAAATACATCATGTCTTACAGGGTGTAGATGTTAATGAGATTGTGCCACTAGTGCAAGAAGTTGCTATACAAGGTTTAGATGCTAATGCTTGGGTTGGTGAAGATGATGGGAATATTGACTTCATTGAAGATACACAAGTTGTTGGGAGGCCTAGGAAAAGGAAGATTTCTGAGAGAATTGTGAAATCAAGCTGAAGAAAGCAGTTTATGATAAGGATGGAAGGGGTTCTAGTATTAAGAAACCAGTTAATTGGAGTAGGACTATTTAGGAGGGGGTATCATGGGCACTATGTATTTTGCTTGCCCTTTTTGTTAACATTTCATCAGCTTTTGGTAACAACCATCCAATTGTATATCAGCATCTAGTAGTATTCAATTAGGCCTTTTTGAACATTGGTAGTTAATGGCCATTAAAACATTGTTGGGCAATTGGTTGTTTGGTACTGATTGTAATACCCCCTTTTATGTTATTATGAATGCAAGTATTTGAACTTAATGTCATTTCACTTTGCTTGTCATTTCACTTGCTTACAATCATATGTTAATTGTCATTCCAGTTAATGTCCTTTACTTCCTTATTTTAGTACATTCAGTTATTACCAAGTTTTACCAAGTTCTACTACATTTCACTTGCTTACACAAGATTTAGTACATTACCATAACTACATTGTAATAAATCACTATAATGCAATTACCAAATCACAGGGACATAAATAAGATTGGATTACTATCAATACACTTCTCCATCAAACATTACCATAACTACAGTGATCACCTGCTTACAATCATATGTTAATTGTCATTCCAGTTAATGTCTTTTACTTCCTTGTTTTAGTACATTCAGTTATTACCAAGTTTTACCAAGTTCTACTATATTTCACTTGCTTACACAAGATTTAGTACATTACCATAACTACATTGTAATGAATCACTATAATGCAATTACCAAATCACAGGGACATAAATAAGATTGGATTACTGTCAATACACTTCTCCATCAAACATTACCATAACTACATTGAACACCTGCCCTAACCAAAATGAAGAACCTACAACAACCTTAACTTACAACTGCCCTAACCAACTGGTTCTTAAAATACAATGTCAATTAACAAAATTACTCCAATAACCACTAACATCACCAACACAAACTTCAACAACTTGATCACCTGCAGAACACCACTAGCAACAACTTCGTTATAGGGCTCCCTTTCATTAGCATAAAACTCCATCTCTTCCGTGTCAAGCCACTTGAAATATTTACACCCTTTTTTGGTACCCTGCCAACAAAAGCTTCATTTACTAACTTTTGAAAGATAACAAAATGGGGAAACAAAATCCCTCAAATTTACCTTATAGTTAGGGCACGCCTTGAACTTTCTTCCTGGGTTTTTATCAGTTCTTGAAACTGAGTATTGCAGTTGATCACCACAATCACACTTAGTGCGATAAATCGGTTTGCTGATAGAAGTTGTTGAAGACGAAGCCATGGAAAAGAAGAAGACGTGATGTGTGAGGAAGAACGCTTGTTAAACCGAGTGAAGGAGAGGTTTTGGGGAAAAAGTGGATTTTGGGTATGTAAAAGGTTAGGGTAACCTGTTAAACCGACGACACCGGCTACCATTGACTTTTCATAACTAGTCAACACAATTAATGGCAAATAAGTAACAAATAAAAATGATAGGGTTAAATCGAAACGGATATGTATAAATAATGGTTTTTAAGGTATTACTCCATATTTTAATTACGAGAAATACTCTTTTATATATACTAGCCGTTACCCGCGCACAGCGGCGGGGACAAATAGCTTGTTTCAACGATATTTTTTTTTTAAAAAAAAATGTTATGTTCCAAAAGAAAGTTCATGTCGTGGGTGAGAGGAAGGGCAGTAGTCGTGATAGTGGTTAGTTGAAGGCGGAAGGAGACAGAGCGGCTGTGGTGGTGGTGGTTATACTGTCTTGGTTACTGGTTAGGGTTCTTCGAGAGAGTGTGCGTATATTTCTTACTTTGAAGGGATTACGAAGATAGATATTATGAGATGGCTTGTTACCAATGTGAGAGAAGAGATCCTCTATAAATTGTTGATATTAACCGCTTCAAATGGCTAAAGTGTTGAGATTGACGGGTTCAATTTGCAAATGAATTCTTCTATTAATTTGATACCAGATTTTTAAGGGATAAATGATAGGGTTAAAGTTTTAATATTATTATATTATAAATGGGTTGTACTTCAAGCTTAATAGTTTGGACGTCTTAAAAAAATAATATTATTATATTCAATCTATTTATAGAAATAGTTAGATTTCTTTTATAAGTAGTAAAGATATATATATATATATATATATATATATATATATATATATATATATATATATATATATATATATATATATATATATATATATATATATATATATATATATATATATATATATATGGTTAGTTCATGTGAGACGGCCTAATTTTGTGAGACCGTGAGATGCATTTTTTAATTTTTTTTAGTTAATTCAAGTTCCGAAAATAATATTTAAAAAAAGAATTTTTTGATTTTTTCATTTATTTTGCATTTTAAAATTATTTTTAGAATATGTACAATATAATATTCTATTTAGAATATTTCACATATTTTTCAAAAAAAATAGAATTTTTTTATTTTTTTATTTTTTTTAGTTAATTCAAGTTCCGAAAATAATATTTAAAAAAAGATTTTTTAGATTTTTCCATTTATTTTGCATTTTAAACTTATTTTTTAGAATATGTCAGTGTAATATTCTATTTAGAATATTTCACGTATTTTTCAAAAAAAAAAAAAAACGGGATTTTTTTTATTTTATTATTTTTTTTGGTTAATTCAAGTTCCGAAAATAATATTTAAAAAAAGAATATTTTGATTTTTTCATTTATTTTGCATTTTAAAATTATTTTTAGATTTGGTCTCACGGTCTCACAAAATTAGAATGGTCTCAAATGAACCTGAACATATATATATATATATATATATATATATATATATATATACACACACACACACACCCCTTATAAGTTAAATCATATGATATATTTGATCAATATAATCTTACAATAAAACTTTTCTCTCACCTCTCTCTTTTTCTCTCTCTTACCTTCTACCGCTGCCGACTACTAACACCAACGTCGGCACCACCGTCGACACCGTCGTCGTCGTCGGTATACAACAATCTTTAGATTCGGAGCCGCCGCTTTCAGATCTGAAGCATTTACCTTCAGATCTGGTGTATTCGCCTTCATATCTACAACCCCCGACTTTAGATCTGCCATCACCACCGAGCGTCGCCTCTAGATGTCCGACCACCTCTAGATAAATTTATATCTGATGTAGATCTGAGAATTTTGTGTTATCATACAAATGTTTGTTCCGAAACTCTTGAACTTATTTTTTTCTCTGAAATGTTCCATCACCGGCGAAAATGTTTGTCAAATTTATACCAGATCTGTTATGTATCACCTCTTTCCCATGTATAACTCATTTTCGTCTTCGTCTCTCTTATTTTTGGTCAAAACACCACCAAATCGACATCTGATCTGATGTTTTTGTCTATTTTCAGGTTAGATATGGTGTGTGTATGGTGTTTACATTAATGGTGATTACGAAAGGAAGTTCTGAAAAAAAAAAGATGCACATAAGGTTTTTGATGAAATGCCTCAATGAAATTTGGTAAGTTATTAAGCTGTGAATTAAGTTTGAATGCATATTTTTTGTATATTATACTATGAAGTTTGTGTATTTAGCTGTGATATTTGTGTTTAAAATTGCAAATTGAATGTGTTAAGCTGTGAATTTGTTGTTTAAACTGTAGATTAACTATAGTAAGTTGTGAGTTTTGTATATTTAACTATGAATTAATTGTATTAAATTTTTTAGTTGAAAATATGCTTTTGAATGCATATTTTTTTGGGTATTAAACAGTGAATTTTCTGTATTTAACTATGAATTAAAAGTTTTAAGTTGATATTATGTTTTTCTACTTGCATTTGTTGTAGATCTCTATTATATTTTGTTTTTTTTTTTTTCCTGTTAATGTGTGAATTTGATATTTTAATCTCTCATTTGTCATATAATTTTGTTAATCTTAATTTTAACAGCTTTAGAATTAAACTTTAAATTTATTATACTAGTTTGTGAATTTTGTATATTAAAATGTGTGTTAATTGTAATAAGTGTTTTAAGTTGATAATATGGATGTGAATACTATTTTTTGTGTATTAAAATGTGAATTTAGTCTACTAAGCTGTCATTTTTGTGTTTTAAACTGTGAATTGATTACATTAAGCTTTGAATTTTCTTTTTAAACTACGAATTGACTGTATTAAGCTGTGCATTTTCTGTTTGAACTGTAAATTGATTAGATTAAGTTGTGAATTATGTGTATGAAACTATGAAGTTACTTGTATTAAGCTATGAATTTTGTGTATAAACTTTGTATTGACTATATAAAGAGTGTTAAGCTGAAAATATGGTTATGGATGCATACTTTTTGTGTATTAAACTTTGAATTTTGTGTATTAAACTATGACTTTTGTGTTTTAAACTGTGAATTGACTGGATTAAACTGTATATTTTCTTCTTAGACTATGAATTGAGTATATTAAGCTGTAAATTTTGTGTATTAAATTATGAGTTGATTGTATAAAGTTGTGAATGAATTGACATTAAGCTGTGATTATTTTATAATTTTTTTGTTTGCTTTTGAAATAATGTAAATTTTATTCACGACTTAATATATTAAATTCACAATTTAAAATATGAATGATTTATGTATAAATTTTTTTGTGAATTTTGTTTTTCTGAATATATTTATTTGTTGTGTTGTATAAGTATATAAGAATACATTAGTTTTAATAATATTTTTGCATTAAATTCAAAATGAGTGAAATAAATGGTTTTATTAGACTGTGAATACAATATTTATGTTACTAATGCATGACTTTGTTTACAGATCTAATTTAGAAGAAAATAATGGTTGCGATGCTGGTATAGGTGGTTGGTGGCAGCGTGTGGTGATGGTAATAGTAGGGTTTGAAATTTTGATTTCTTTAAGTTTGTGAATTAGTATAAAATGGTTTGTATTAAATTGTGAATTTTGTGAATTAAATTACGAATGAACTGTATAAACTTGTAATTTATATAACTTTTGTGTTCAAATATGAGAGCATATAAGAATGAAAATATTATACTGCAAAAATTACAATTTTGCCCTTTTTGTATCGAAAAGAGAGAAAAAAAAAAGGA